CATTGACAAAACCTTAAAAGTTTTGCTTGAAAAACTAAAAAATGTCAATTTATATGGTAAAGATTCGAACCATCACCAATCAACCCATAACTAATTTACAAACACAGCTATACTAGTGCACTAGCAGTTATTATTTGTCACATTTTTAACATAAAAATCCATAAAACCTTTTACATTTGCAAAATATCAATTTTATCCGATTTTACGATTTTACGATATTATTGTTTCAAGTTTATAAAATCCTGATTGTAACTCCGATTTTACACGAATTGCATAAGTAAAATCATAAAATCATGCGATTTTACAAGTAAAATCACAATTTTGACAACCATGATAGTGAAGAATTGAATGTTCAGATTTTAAATTTAAAAACTGAACAAGAGTCTCTCCAAAATTAAAATTTTGATAGTGAAAAGAGAACAAGGAAAGTAAATTTCATTAATTAGTTATGCATTAAAAGGTTCCAAAACCCAAAAGACTTGCTAAGTTTTGAGTCTTTATCCAACAAGATGTAAGTCTTTTAACGCATGCTCCATTTTCATATCCCCCAAGTAATTTCTAGGACTCTTTTTGCAATGTGACAGTGACGAATTGAATGTTCAAATTTCAAACTTAAAAGTTGAACACTCAATTTGAACATTCAAGAGTCTCTCAAAAATTAAAATTTTGATAGTGAAAAGAGAACGAGAAAAGTACGTTTCTTTAATTAGTCATGCATTAAAAGGTCCCAAAACCCAAAAGACCCGCCAAATTTTGAGTCTTTGTCCAACAAGATGTAAATTTTTAACACATGTTCCATTTTTATATCCTCAAGTATTTTCTAGGACTTTTTCTACAATGTGACAGTGATGGATTGAATGTTCAGATTTTAGACTTAAAGACTGAACAATCAGAAATCTCTCCAAAATTAAAAATTTGATAGTGAAAGGAGAACGAGGAAAGTAGGTTTCTTTAATTAGTCATGCATTAAAAGGTTCCAAACCCAAAAGACTCGCCAAATTTTGAGTCTTTGTCCAACAGGATGTAAGTCTTTAATGCATGCTCCATTTTCATATCCACCAAGTATTTTCTAAGACTTTTTTCTACAATGTAACAATGACAAATTCAAAGTTCAAATTTCAAACTTAAAAACTGAACAATCAAAAGACTCTCCAGAATTAAAATTTTGATAGTGAAAAGAAAACGAGGAAAGTAAGTTTCTCTAATTAGTCATACACTAAAAGATTTCAAAACCGAAAAGATTCACTAAATTTTGAGTGTTTGTCCAACGGGATGTAAGTCTTTACTCGTGCTCCATTTTCATATTCCCCACGTATTTTCTAGGACTCCTGTTTCAAAAGAAGCAGAAATAATGCCTATTCCATTTTCAATATAACGGCATTATAACTTTAGTCAATGGAAGGAAGATGATTGATTTTTTTTTTTTTTGCAAAGTTGAGGGATTATCATGAATTCTTTTTAGGTAGAGGGACAATAATGACTCTTTTTGTAAACTCAAGGATTCTTGATGACATTAAGCCCTTGATAAATTGAAGGTAAAGTTCTTTTATTAAATAAAAAAGAGGGGGAAGTTTTATTTTTAAAAATATAAATTAATTTTTAAAAAGTACATTAATTTAAAAAAAATCCTTAATTGCATGTTTAGATTGAGGAAATGGATCTAAGAAGAAGGGAAAGAAAAGAAAAGGAAATTTTATATTTCCATTCTCTTGCCTTCCTTCCTCTCATTTGAATAAGTAAATAAATTAAAAGAAAAAATAAAATAAAATAAATCCTTAAAAAATACATTAATCATACCTTCATTTGTATAATGTTGTAAAATAAAAATAAAAATAAAAACAAGTAGAAGAAGTGTGAAATAGAAAGACATGGGAGGCAAAGAGACCATGAATAAGTTTTTATTCTCCTTTCTTCCATCCATTTCTCATGCAATAATAAGCTCTATATATAGGGTAATAGAGTTGTAGAAGTACTTATAAGAGTTACAATGTAAGAGTTAATTATTTATTAAATAAGAATAAATCATCATTTCAATGCATGACATTATGAGATATTCATGTGTAAATAGTAATATGTAAATGTTAATTATTTATTGATATTTATTTATTAATAATAAAAGTTAAACTATTACTTAACATGTAAATGTTATAAAAAAAATAAAAATAAAACATAAAAAAGATAAAACATCTACAAACCAATTAATTTGTAATATATAAGTTAAGAAAAGGAAAAATCCTTCTTGTTTTCGTTTTTCTTTCTGGATATTGGTTAGGCAAAAACCCTTCTTAAACCCTCAAACTTATCCCAAAATAGCATTTAAGCCCTTAAATTAAAAATAAAACTAATAAGCCCTCTAACTCTACAACAATGCAAATAAACCATTTTCCAAACGGACCAAATGGTGTATCTCACGGTGAACTAACTCTGTTTCTTTTTTGGGCTTCCACTAATTCATATAGATATATATACTGACATGGCACCATTTCATGTGCACATGTAAGTTGATGTGGATGAAAAGGTTAAATTCAAGTTTGGGTTCTTTTTGTTCAAACTCCATATTTTTTGTTTTGTTTTTATTTGAGTAAAATTCATTTAAGTTCTATTCATTATATATATATATATATGGAAAAATATATATCAGTTTTAATTTTTAAAAAAATTAAAGTTTTAATATTAAATTATGTTATTTTATTTTATTTTGTTTAAAATTTAAAATTTTATCTTATTAAATATTGATATTTAGATTTAAAAACTAATTTGATATTTTTAATTTTGAATTAGAATTTCAATTTCTAAATATATGTTGGGATTTCAATTTTTTTTAAGAATCGGGACTAATACACACTAATTTCATATTTATATTTATATATGGTTCAAACTCCTAGTTCCTATCTTTGCTTTTATTTAAGTAAAATTTGTTTAGGTTACTAATAAATTGATTTTATTTTAATAAGAGTATTATTAATTAGTTCAAGTAATATAATAATAAAAATTAAATATCCTTTCACAAATATTATGGATTAATTTATTATCAATATTAATTAATTTTAAATTTATAAAAACAATTAAAATTAAATGATTTAAATAAAATAAAACTTAGGACAAAAAAAATTATTAATGCAGAATCTGCTTTTAGTCACTATAAGAAAATTCATATTTAGTGACTAAATTATTAGTCATTAAACCTTTATTTTTTGTCATTAATTAAAATTAATAATTAAATTTAAATTATTAGTAAAACTCTTGTTATTAATGCTCTCAATGACGAATTTGACACCTATCATAAAAAAAAAATTTATAGTGATAAAAAAAATCTACATTATTAATGAGTTATTTGTAACAAATTTAGTCATCACAAAAAAAAATTTTTGTTACAATAATTTTCATCACAAATGTTACAATTGAGTGATAAAAAAATAGTCACATATGCAATTGTAATGAAAATTTTAGTCATTAATTATTAAAATTAATATTAAATCAAAAAGATATTTATATAATTACAACACAAATAATGTAACAAAAACTCTATAAAAAATTTGATATATAAATTTATCACAAAA